AGATATTCCTTGGTTGTCCCAAGCATCTTAAAAATTGTCACCTTCATTGTCTGCCCTGATATAAACGGCAACAGTCCATTATTGGAGTGAGAGTGCTAATAGTACATTGGTTTTAGGAGAGCTACACCAGAATTTGCCATTATATTGTGAATCAAAGTCAGAATAAAGACACAGAGATTGTGGTTTTTATTAGGCTATCCCAATTTATGCGATGTTAATTGTCTCTCGTGACGTGAGTGGTAAATAATACAAACAATGTAGGTTGTGGTTAGAAAGTCTCTTGGGAACCTTTGAAAACTTGAACATTTCCCCAATCTAGTATTGGCCAACAAAGAAAAAAAAAAGAGTATAAATTGTCCCTTTTTTTAGATACATCGAGTACCTAATTTAAGGGGAACGGCGAAAGGCTCACACATACTGGAATTCGAACTAGTGTTATGGGGTTTGCAACCATTGAAGTAAACACCCACTGGCAAGTATAAGTTGTCCTGGGTTAATCAATAATTGGAGTGAAATACTTTGATTAGACTCCTTTTCTATCGTAAGAAATTAATTAATGTCACCGTTATATAGGTTAACAGTCCGCTCATACTAGATCCTAAAATATAAAATTGTCTTTGATTTATATGATAATTTGTGATGTTACGGTCGCACTCAAATATCTTATCTTTGGTCTAACATTAGTGAATTGTTCCCGGAAATAAGACCCACAAAGCATGGTGACCCATTCAATTATTTTTCCCTAGAAAAAAAGCATAAGGCTAATTAAGGAACATGGACCACCAAAGGCAAAGCCACATGGTAAGGTACTTATTGCGGCGGCAGGACCTATGTGCCCCATATTACAAAGTGGGAAGGAAGGAGCTCTTATTTTGTGTTTGAATCCAATCATATGTTTTAGGGCCAATACTTTAATATATAGGTCATATGAGGAACAGCGACAGAGACCATTCATATATGGTTTAATTGGGGGGCAGGAAAAACAAAGGCCTATTTGCCTTGTTTATATTCCTTTGTCACATGAGTATTTAACAATTAAATCCTAAAAATATAGGTCCCATTTATAAATAGACACTGCTTCATTCCTTTCCCAGACGAAGTTATTCATACTTTCTGAGAATCATAGTTTGAAAAATATGTAAAAATAATTTATCAAGACACAAAAAATATAAATCTCTACACATATCAAATAGTGATTGACAGGAAAATAGGAGTTGCTCTACTTTCAGAAGGAGGTAAGTATTTTTCTCTATAAATTAGGGTTATGTGGGGCTGAGCCAGACACTGGAAGCCATGCAGAGTAGGGAAATGGAGGGCCCCCAATCAGGACTTTGAATTGGAAGAGCCCTGAAACTGCTTTGGGCTCACTGGCCCTATCACTTTTATAATGTGTGAGCTGTAGAAGCACATGCTTTGCCTCTGTATAAGTTTTGTTGGTTTTGTTCGTGTGCATGAGAGAGAGAGAGAGAGAGAGAGAGAGAGAGCATGTGCGGAATTATTTATTTAATTTTTGTGTGAGAGAGAGGGAGCAAACTAGTAAAAGTACTGTTATGTCCTTAAAATAGTGGAATTTTGTTAATCACTTTTAAGGTGTAACATGTGCTGATATGGGTGCTAGGGCATGGTGCCTCTCATGGGAAATAGTGTGTAGTGTTCTTGAGTTAGAGAGTGGTGTCCAAGAAGGTGTTTCCATGGTTTAGGGTAGCAATTTGGGAGCTGAGGAGGACCACATGCCTAGAGCATACAAGAGACTCCAGTACAACTAGTACATGTTCTTATGCAATGTGGTCTATCTTGTGGTTTTAGGGTTTGTATCCGATGACGGACTGAGAATTTTATTTTTGTGGGGGCGCATTTAAGCAACGATAATTGACGAGACCACATTTATCCTTTTTATTATTATTGAAGGATATAATCTATATATATATATAAACTCACAAATAAAATGTATAAAACAAGAAAAATTGTTAATATACTCAAAAACATCTAAAACAATTGAAGCTAAAATTATTATAATACTAAAAAGATTATGTTTTAAAAAAAACATTCATGTGCTTCTAAGTGTGTTTTTTTGGCTTATTCTTTGTTTTTATTAACTAGGAAAAAAAAATCACTTTTTATACCTATAGTTTGCCACTTTTATTATTTTTGTCTCTGTAATTTTAATTTGGTTAATTTTGTCCACGTAATTTCTAAGTCCAAGTAATTTAAGGACACTTGTCAATTTCGGTCAAATCTCTCTTAAATTTGTTGGTTTGGTTTGATTTTTTTCTTTCTTCCCAATTGAACTTGTAATCACTTTTGACAGCATGCTGATCGAAAGGAACTTGTAAAAATCAACTAAGTCGGACCTGAATTCAACTGGGCCTAACTAAAATAAAAAATTGGAATACGTGGCTGAAAAAATAAAATAAATTAGAAGTCCAAGAAAACATAAGAAAGAAAGCTATTCGTTCAGGCTTTGGTTGATTGAGGGATATCCTGGCCTGGTTGTTTGGTTTTTTGGGCCTCTAGCCCACAGAGCACCAAAAACAAAAATAGTTATTCTACAACACCCAACAATTATATTCAGACACCCAATCCAATAGAGAACATGATACAACTGAAGTGGTGGTACCCAATATAGGTTGAATCATGCTGTGCTCAGGTTCGCTTGTCACGTTTTGCACTAGAGATGAGGATTTGGAAGTGGAGGAATAATGGCACTGGTAATGGTGGGCCTCCGAGTCTCTACATTTATCCAACAAACGGATACGATGAGAGACCTAAATAAGATGATTGAGATAATATGCTCATTCCCTTACACCCGAGTTCAATTTCCCTCACCATGTCGCATTCCCATCCCACTAATAAAAGTAGGCTAATGAATCTGTGAAAGAAATAACACGATTTTGAATCTATTACATTCAAAATCGCCATCGTATTTATATGAGTTAAATATACGACTTATATTTAAAATTTTATTTATAAATATAAAAACATTTAAATGTGAGTTATAAATATGGAGATATGAGAAGTACACAACACTACACCTTTTGCTGGTGAAGGATAAAAACCCGTGACAAATTATTCGTAAGATATGTTACAAAAATACACACTCCTCCTGATATGATTCAATTTTTACTGGTTTTCTCTTCTTTTGTCTGTCACGAGAATTGGCTATGATTTGATGGTCTTGTGACCTATGCAAGAAAACACGGCGAAAAGAAACAACATCAAATCCTAGAAACGGTAGAGTTGAGAAATTTCTCAAAGGTTTATTGATAACTAAATGATAATGATTATGACATTCAAAAGTTGTTTATATACAGTGCATGTTTAGTGTTGTGAGGTCATTTACAATATTAAAACTGTATTTTGAGGTAGAAATTCTCTCAAAATATAACACTGTTTAAATATTGTAATTCAAAACACTAAACACACACTATATAGAGTCTTATTTATCTCATCGTTCCCTTCGAAATAACGTATTACAGACCTAAACCGGACACCTCCCAACTTCAAAAAATTCAAAATCTATTTTTCTTAGATGGACCATGGTATGGTTGCATGAACTAATGCGCAAGGTGTCCTACCTATGGACCATGGTTGTGAATGGCATATGAACCCTCATCAATATCATTCCAGGCCTTGTGTTGTAAACTTGTAATGCCAATTATCCTCAAAATCCCCCAAGTGGAGATATTTTTTCCAAGTCAACTAGACAATGGCATGAATTGGTGGATTAATTGAAGTGTCCTCATCAACCTCAGCGCGAGAGAAATAAAATTGATGCTGCACTTGTATTGAAAACAAACTATTTTAGAGTTTATAGTTTAAGGTTTTCAATGGAAAATAATAATAATTATAAGGAGACGTAAAACCGCGTATAGGTTTCATCAATAAGCACAATATCAACATAGAAAATATAAGTAAAAGATTCAAATCTAAAGAGACAGAGTGGTAAAATGGTACATACTAAACTTAACACTTTCAAGTTCCTCAAGCTTGGGTTGGAAACTTGATCACTTTGGGCACTCATTATTTGCAGAAGATTCCTATACCCAGAATGAAAGACTTTTATGGTGGTGGGAAAAGGCATAATGCAGGAAATGTGGCCCTTAGGGTCGCGTTAACCTACCACTGATCGGTGGGTATTTTGCCTTTTTCAACATGGATTTGATGATAAAGCTACAAGCCAAGCCTACAAATATATCAATTTTGTCATGATTGGATTGCTTACTATAATATCCTTTGGCCCCCAAATATAATGTGAAAACACAATCAGCCAGCCAACCGCCCTCCATGACGCCATCCTTAACCTTTGCTTATGTTAACTGTCGGTGAAAATTGGCTGGTAGTCTATTTGTTTTATTTTTACTTTTGGTAGCAAAGTTGCCTGTGTTCTTCAATAGGATAAGATTAGGGCATCATGCATGCTATAAGATTTTTTTGTTTGCTTCTGCCTATGTGGGATCAGTTGGTCAGAGACAGAAGTATAAGAAAGAAAAGATCTTGATTTAAGGTGTGAGAATTTTGTGACAAAACTTATGTTGATAGAATTGGATATGATATGAAGGTCTCGATTTGCATACTAGTAGTCGCATGTTTGAATATTCATGTCATTATAGTAGTTTGTGTGTGTGAGAAATCCTCCTCCTCCTCATGTCGTTTCAACTACCACTTGGGCTAAAAAAAACGAGAGAAGAGAATAGGATACAAGGAGGCACTTTACCGAGAAGCAAGAAAATAAAGGGTGGCATGTATACATGATTTAAAAGTGACAATTTTGTAAGACTGCTTCTATTGACGATTCGAATATGAAAAGTGCGATCATATGAGCCTCTAAATGAAGATTTTATGATCCGTGATAGCGGAAAGGGTTGCAAAAGTGGGTCCTACTCACTTCCTAGAGAACAAATCAAGTAGACTAGAAGTCAATGCAGTAGTCAACGCAAATACTTAAGGCCAACTGGTTCACGCTAATCAAGGCACTTAAAGTGGTTTAAAAGAAGATACTTTCATTGAACTCACCCACTTGATCCCTCACTATGCCATCCCTTTGGCCTTTAGCAGCACTTGTATTTTTCTCCTACTTATTAAATCCAACATGAATCTCTTCCAAAATCTGAATCAAAACCAATCCAAACCCATCCTCAATTTTTCTTCTCTCAGATCTCTAGCCACTCTCACTTAATTCCCTTTGAACTCAAGCCTGACCAAAGAAAGAGCACCCCAACCAGCCATGGCCAAAATGAGCAGTTCCAAAGCCAGTAATGGCAGCAGAAAAAACAGCGAACTGCTTCCATTTGCAGTCCATGTGGTTCGAGGCAGATGGTTCTCTGTGTTTGCCTCCTTTCTCATCATGGCTGGAGCTGGTGCTACTTACCTCTTTGGTGTCTACTCCAAGCAGATCAAGTCCTCCCTTGGCTATGACCAAACAACCCTCAACTTGTTAGGGTTCTTCAAAGACCTTGGTGCAAATGTTGGTGTCCTCTCAGGCCTTATTGGTGAAGTCACCCCAACCTGGTTTGTGCTCCTAATTGGCTCAGCCATGAATTTTGCAGGCTATTTCATGATTTGGCTGGCTGTGACTGCCAAAATTCCCAAGCCAAAAGTTTGGCACATGTGCCTTTACATTTGCATTGGGGCCAACTCTCAAAACTTTGCAAACACAGGAGCTCTTGTCACTTGTGTCAAGAATTTCCCAGCTAGCAGAGGTGTTATGCTTGGTCTGTTGAAGGGTTTTACTGGGCTTAGTGGAGCCATATTTACTCAAATTTACTTGGCTGTCTATGGAAACAATTCAAAATCCATGATTCTTCTCATTGCTTGGCTTCCTGCTGCTCTGTCAGTAGTTTTTGTGTACACCATTAGACCCATGAAGCTTGTTAGGCAACCCAATGAGCTCAGAGTCTTTTACCATTTCCTCTATGTCTCAATTGCCCTTGCACTTTTCCTCATGGCTATGATTATACTTCAAAAGCAAGTTACTTTCTCCCAAGCTGCCTATGCTGGAAGTGTCACTGCGGTTTGTGTGTTCCTCTTTGTCCCTCTTGGCATTGCCATTAGAGAGGAGCTGCTCCTCTGGAACCTCAAGAAACAGCCTGTTGATCCACCAAATGAGTTGACCATTGAGAAAGTACCACAAACAATTGAAGCGAAAGAACATGCATTGCCATCAAATTCCTCAAAAGAGCAAAAACAGGACACAAAGATATCTTGTTTTGCTGACATATTCAACAAGCCAGAAAGAGGAGAAGACTACACCATTTTACAAGCATTACTAAGTATTGACATGCTCATTTTGTTCATCGCGACGCTATGCGGACTCGGGTCAAGTTTGACAGCAGTAGACAATTTGGGGCAAATTGGCGAGTCTCTGGGATATCCAACCAAAACAATAAGCTCTTTTGTGTCATTAGTTAGTATATGGAACTACTTTGGGAGAGTCTTTTCTGGGTTTGTCTCTGAAAGCCTATTGGTAAAGTGGAAAGTCCCCAGACCCCTCATGATGACCCTTGTTCTTCTTCTATCATGTGCTGGCCATCTCCTCATTGCCTTTCCAGCCCCTGGTTCAGTTTATGTGGCATCCGTGATCATTGGGTTTTCTTTCGGTGCCCAACTTCCGTTGCTTTTCGCCATCATTTCCGAACTCTTTGGCCTCAAGTACTACTCTACATTGTTCAATTGTGGACAACTAGCAAGTCCCCTTGGCTCCTATATACTGAATGTGAAGGTCACTGGAATGCTCTATGACAGAGAGGCATTGAAAGAGCTAGCAAAGAAAGGGATGGCTAGGTCTTCGGTGAAGGAGCTGATTTGCCTTGGGAGCCAATGCTATAGGTTGGCTTTCACAATTTTAGCTTCAATCACATTCTTTGGTGCTCTTGTTTCACTGGTTTTGGTGATCAGGACCCGAGAGTTCTACAAAGGTGATATATACAAGAAGTTCACGGAGGAAGCAGAAGATGCATAGAGTTAATTTAATTTAATTTTATGGAAAGACTATATATAAAATGTAAAGATCCGGAGTTTGATCTATTATGAACTCAGAATTGTGGGATCAGAGATTCTTCTATCAGTTAGTTCACAAATGACCTGCACTAAAAACTTCTGGAACCTTTCCAGGTGAACAGAAAAACCTGTGACAAATTATTGTAATGATATACATATAAGTCAATGGCCCAATGTTTTTGGATTCATGTGGCTTTTTCCCTTTTTGCTTCTTCCTTTACAGATGCTCAATTTTGTCTGTCATGAGGTTTGGCTATGATTTATGGTTCATCCGTAGTTGCTATTGTTGTTAAAAAAATTTAATTCACGGACTATATACAACACCATGTATTACTACAAACCTTGCCATCTGACTAACTATTACAGGAAGGGAAGGCCAAGGAAGTTGGTGATCTGAGAACTGGGGACTGTTCCTATATATATTGTTCACCAGAATTTTTGGTCAGACCGACTGCGAGTGAAAGAACAGTTCCAAGTGGCAGTCCAAATGGAATCTTATGCAAAAATAGCCAAAACCCCTCTCAACAATGGAAATGGATTAGGCATTGAAGTGTGACTATTGATAATGAACATGCAACCGAGATCAATAGGATCCTCTCCTTATATTTTCTGTACAGAGAACCATAATACAAGGATCTTAACTCAAAGAGACGAGCGGCAAAAGGTGGATGCTAAGCTAGTACCACATAGATTATAGGGAAATAGCCCAAAATGCCACTAATTTTTTAGTTTTAAGTGGAAATACCAAGCCTCCCCAAAATTTTTGCAAATACCACCTATAAATATATATTTATTGTCCACTTACTGCCCACATAACACTTTTTCTGAAATTTAGTTCTCTCCCACTCTCTATTCGTTCTATCTTTCTCTCTCTCTTAGGTCTGTATTCGCTGTCTCTCTCTCTCTCTCTCTCTCGTGCAGTTGTATCTGTTCCGAATTGTCCCCATCTCTTTGTTGTGAATCTGGAAACCCCACATCGACTCCATCTTCTAGGTAAGTCTTTGAATAACGTAAGGTCGCAGCTGCTTGCAACCTTGAAGCTCTACTCCATTGCTGACCTCCAATAGGCATTCTTGATGGTCATTTTCTTAATCTTTGTGGAATTCTGTGAAATTGGTTTACTTTTGATTGCTTGGGTTGC